CTATGTTTGGATTGGAAGGTCTGTAATCAATCTGCTGTTTCCGCCAAGCAGCTGACACTTAGGGCCTTTTGTCTTTGCCCTGCAGAGTAGGGGATTTCATTGAGCCACGATAAAAAAAAAAAAAAAAACGCGGACTAACCTTGCGCAATTAACTGCTATGTCCTGCTCTCGTCTTCCCGTGTCATGTTTTGCAGCCGCCCACCTCTCCTCCCCCTCTTGATATTTCCCTTTTCTTGCCTTAGACTGTCGAGGAGAGATAGTATTTCAACTCACAGTAGAAAGGAAAGGATAAACAACAGCAGGTAGGCCCCCGAGGCGAGACACACCTCTGTACACCTTCACATCCCATCTCCTCATACACTCCCTCCCCTTGCTTCTCTCCGCCCCCACCGCTGCCTCTCCACTGTGGGCCTGGTGCAATTTCACACAGGGACAATAGATATGTTACATAAGACCAAACACAGCACACACACACACACACACCGTCTCCTGCAGGCCACAGGAAAGCTCGTTTTAAATTTTTGATTGAAAACGATATTACATTGACAAAATTAGGAGGAACTCTGACATAATCACAACTGCCTACTCCCATCAGTCCAGGTGTTGAACCACACGTCACATTGGTCCAATCCATGAGCTGCTTTGGCACTGCTACCCTTGGGCCCACACATTTCTCAGTAAACATTACCAGAATTGCTACATGCTGAATGTTGGTCCTAGCCAATCAGTGGGAAGCACAAATATGTCTTGCGGTAGCCTGGATGTTGAGCAATCTCTCCCACAGCCCTCACCTGGGCAATGCTTGATCTCAATTATGATTACTGTTCTTCTCTGGTATGCTGCCCTAGTTAGTCTCCTCATCTTTCCACTTAGATTTATTACATTTAATCACATCAGCATATTACAACACGCTCGAGAAAGAGAGGAATGACTAAATGGCTAGCATAACTCCTTTGGCAAAATTGCAGTTATCTGATCTCACTAGTTTATTTTGAAGGATTGTGTTGATTTCAACTGATTTGTTTATTAATTATTGTTATTATGAAATATGTTGTGCTTGTATATCATGAAAACAGTATAACACATGAGGCTATGACTACAAGTTTGTTTTTGTTTTTTAACTATCAACCTATTCGCAGATGGATTTTCTTGATTAATTGTTAATATCTAAAAATGTTGAAGAAGGACTGTCACAGTTTCCTACTGCTCAAAATAAGTCAAAACATTGTTTTTATTTTCACATATAAAAATGGTGGATGTAGCCAACATGATGTCATCCATTGGTTTTTTAACTACTGTTTCGAAACCTGAGGTTTGGAATTTGTCCATCCCCACCTTGCTTTTTTGAAACCAGGCATAACAAGCAGGGGGTGGACCTGACAGAGTTGTAAAACTTAACCTGCTTTGTCATCTATTTTACTGTAAATGGGGCCATAATTTACTAAGTAAACATCGTGCTGTGTCTATAAAGTCTTGAAACTAGCAACTGAGACCATAAACCCATTAGGAAAATGTTAACTGAGGTAGCAAATCAAAGGAGAAGCAGAGTAATTTTGTCATAGACTTCTACATAATCAGGCACCAGAGGAGTCGCCCCCTGCTGACTGTTAAAAGAATGCAGGCTCACGGCACTTCCATGTTGACTTCTCTTCTTTCATACAGTATCTATGGGTTTTGTTTTTTTTTTCAACAGCCCAACAGAGTTTTAGTTTAGAGTGATGGGAAAAGGAAAAAGAGAGAGGCTGCTGTCGTCACATTTTTGGGGCATTTTTTATTCATAGGTTTTCAAACAAGTAATCAAATGTCGAATTGTCAATTTTCTATTAACTGGTAACTAATTTTTTAAAGTAATTGTTTCAGCCACAGTATTGCATTACTTTACATATATATCTATGAAAAAACTATGTTCTGACCTACTTTGAGCAGTAGGAAATTGTGACAGTCTTTTTTTTTTAATATAAATATACATATATGAGCTTTCCACCATTTATCTGTCAGTGATGTTTAACCAATCAAATCATGCTTTGGGCAGCTGCATCCAAGCCAAAGTAGCACATTTTTAAATGAATTTATTTCACAAGGAACAACAATAACGGGAAAAAAACAAAACAAAGATAATGAGAAAAAAAGCTGACTGTTGGCTCTTATAATTGCTCAGCCCCTTTAAGTAGTTTTGCAGTTATTTCAGCCATTAACCACAGTATTGCACAAGGTAAACGTTGGAGCTGATGGTCATGCTACATAGGAAGTTTTTACAGTTTATCCTGATGATGACATGAATATCTACCAGATTCCATGGCAATCCATCCAGTTGTTGTCATGTTCATGCTGAATCACAAATGTTAACCTCATGGTGGCGCTAGAAGAAAAGTCAGTGGATTTCCAAAGTGAATTGTCCCCATCCTGTCAGTGTCTATAAAAACATAAAGGCAATACATTCAAAGCCTTGGTGTTGCTGCTAGAGTGCATAAAAGGTGTATCATCAAGCAGATGTTGCCCCAGCTGTTGAGTGTCCTCTGGTTCAGCTCTCTTCCAATACAACAGCTGGAGATAATGACTGTTCACACTTGTAATAATTTTCGAGCCACCGCTGCATCGACTGTCTCACTTTGTTGAACCTGAGTCATGCAGGCAGATTGCGCGATGCAATGATACCGCGAGCAACTACTTGTACGACGGGAGCCGAACGCTGGATTAAACTGTGGTGGCCGGGCACATGCGGTGTCCTTGCTCCGTTTCCTCTCTGTAGATATTTAGTCACCGGTGATAGATTTGCTCAAAGCCTTTACATCCAGCAGTGTGTTTTCGTTGGAAACCGTGCTCACAGATAGCATCTCTCCTCCTCTGATGTTGTGGAGCTCTCCACTCATCGAGCGCCAACCAGTGGCAGTGTGGGCGCGCCCTGCTCTGCATTGAGAAAATAAACAAAAGATCTTTTTTGTAGCAGTTACACACAATTCATCTGCCTGTTTGGCATATTTGGGGCACATAGAAGTGATGCGGTTAGTACGTCTCTTATCGCTGTTAATTTTCCAGTGGGTGGGAGTAATAATGGTTAGCATGAAGATAAATGCTTGCTTGATGTTTCATCCAACTACAACCACTTAAATTATGTGTGTTTTGTTTCTTTTTGTGCATTTTGAACAGTACATAGTTAGAGCGACGCCGTTACTTGCCATTGAGGTTAATCATTATACCTGCATTATCTTAATTTAGCAATTACCTGCTAATCTTGTCGTACAATTTGCACACCGCCACAGCTCATTTCATCTCAACCCTGTTATCTTCCTTTTTTTGTCTGAGTGTTGTGTCAGCTTGCTGTGTCTGATCAGTGTAAAGACAGGCAGAAAAGTAACCCACAGTAGCCCACTACCACACCCTACCCACCCCAGACACCTCAAAACACAGGTTCTATCCACCATCAGCACCGCCGTGTAGGACTCAGCTGACCTTCGTACTCGCTGATCTTTCTTATAAAAAGGCGTTCATGTCTCTCCGTGGTGTTTGACAGAGTACTAGGAGGATTAAAGCAGCCGTGCGGTGAAAAGACTTTGATCAGTTCACTCCTCTCCTCTCCAAACCTTCTGCGTCATGCTCACTTACAGACCCCGAAGCTGAAATTCCTCTGTTTCCCCTTCCACCTGCCCGTTGGTCCAAGCCAGTGTATTAATTAGGGAGTGAGGTAACAAGGTGAAGCAGCTGATCTCTTGTCTAATGAGGAGTCTGGACACAGAGCCCTGAATGTTGTGGTTTTTTCAGGGCCTCCCTCCTGGTCAGCTCATTGCTAGTGACCCAGAGAAGAGGTGGTGTGACTGAGAGGTGCTGCCGAACATCCCTCCACTTCTCTCACCTTTGCCAACATCTCGGCTTTAGGACTGGACAGCCAACAACTGTCTGATGCTGTCTTTGTTATTTAAAGTTCATATTAGTGCAAAGTTTTCAAAAAAATGTTACATCGTTCCAATAAAATTTTAGGTTTCCTACAAATGTGAGAACATTAGGAAAAGATTATATCACTCCTGTCTTTTGCTTCTTTATGTTATTTGGCTTTCACTGGATCCCCAGTTGTTTACAGCGTAGGATACGTTCAAGCAAACAAGTTTATATAATGTGCCATCCGACAGCATAATAAAGAAATAGTGTTGCTGTTCTGAGCTGCTACCTTCAAAGGTGAAGTGGAAAACCTGCTGGCATGGAGAGGAAAGGGTCGGCTCACTTTCCCTTTCCTCTTGTTGTACTTTCTGTAAACATGAAAAGTGACAGAAGCTCAAACACTCTGGTGGACACAGCTGTCCTCTTCTTTTATTGGCACGCTGAGGAAGGATGCCATTTCAGACACTGTTCGACCATCAAAAAGCACTTCAGCTGAAGGTCGCCGGTACTTTCAAACTGACGACTTCAATCAAACACACTTTTTTCAGTTTGCTGGAGTGAGTAAAGGAAAGAAAGCCTTGGGTTTCAGCTAAGTTTATGCATCCTAGTAAGCCAAAATGTGTTATTATTTTCATTAAAATACGTTCATATTATGCAACACAGGCTTGAAAACAACTGGATTCTTTTTTACAACTTACTTGAATGGTCTAATTAATTTTTTTCTGACTGTTGTTTTTAATTTTATGTCAAACTTCAGTTCAGTATTTGCTGATTTTAAACATGTGGCGAAGCATTACCACCAAACACTATCCAAACTGGTCACACTAGGAGGACGACATGAATTTAGAAAAGCAGTGACACGATAGTTTAAACCCAAAGTCAGACGCACTGCATAATATATATCCAAAATTGCAGATTTTGCAATTTGCCAATTCCATTGCTTCTTTTCTTGTTTCGTTTGATTAGTCAGTCAGTCCTGCTTTGTGTATTTGTTTGCATTTTCCCAACTGCAAATTGTACTATCTGGTCTTGCTAAGAGAGAAGATTGTTTACCACCAGTCATTTAGGTCAGAGCCTTCATTGCAGCAAGTAACAGCTGATGTCATTGTGGTTTTGTCTCTCCCCAGGTACGCCATCATGTGTGGAATTATGGCCGAATATGACACAGTACAAAACAAGATAAAGAATGGATACATATTTAAGGTAAGTCATGCACATCATGTTCTGGTTTTGTCTGGGCCTGTGTGCATTCTGAAGCCAAAAAAAAGGAAATGTCTACACGGTTGTGTGTATACATTGATGTTTGCATTAAGCATTGCTTCTCCCATGTACTCAGACTGAAGGGGAATGACTGCTCCTATCACTTAAGCCACTAAGCCACTCCTACTGCCATTCAGTTGCATAAGATGGAGTGTGGAACAACGGCACGTAGCATTTTATCTTCTGTCAGCAGCTTCCCCCCCAAACACTGTGTGCCTTCAAAACTCTTGACAGGTGAAAGAGAGGGAGAGATAGAGCGCTGGAGAGGGAAGATATGAAAAAAAAAAAGAGAAAAAAAAGCCTGAATCAGAGAGAGAAGGAGAATGGAAAAGAACGAGGGAGGGTGCGTGCTGGATCGGTGAGATCGCGTGTGTGAGAGGTGTTTGTGAAATACTTGTGGGTTGGTGAAGCAGGACAGATCAGGTCAGAACAGAAGGCAGTGGAAATAGCAGCCATGTCATGAATCAACGCTGAAAATCTTCTCCCTGTCTGTGTGTCTGCCTCCCCTCCCAGGATCATCTGGATAAAGCCATCGAGCTGAAACCACAGGACCCCATGTCCTACTACCTGCTGGGCCGCTGGTGCTACGCTGTATGTGAAGCTCCTGACAATTTCACAACACATCTGTCTCTCCCATCTCTCCTCACATGGACAAACTGAAATTTACGGAGGCTGGCGTGTCTGCATTGCCCCCCGTCTCCCTTTGCTAACCCACCCACGGTTTCCCCTCATTCATTCCCACTGTTTAGGTTTCCCCGAGGTTTGTTTTTCCCTCTGTGATATTCACAGAAAAAAGCTATGGGAGGTTCACACCAGCCATTGTTAGCGTTAAATCAGATTGTACCAGGGAGATAATTTCATCCTGTTTCTGTTCACCTCATGTTCTTTCAGCACAGGCGGTTGTTTTTGATGCAGCTCATGATTGTTTTTATCGTCTGTCAGTCATTTAGTCACTTGCAGTATGTTTAAGAATAATGTGTGATGGTGAATTATTATCATTGAGATGTAAAGACTTACAGGCATTCTTCTGTTGAGTGTTTCTGTTGTTTCGTGAGCTATTTATCTTGTAGCTTGGTACCAGTTGTCAAACTAACTGCCTGAAAGGAAGGAAGCTATTACAGAGATTGCTCTGATTAAATTATATAACACTCACCTACACTGCTGGTCCCAGAGAAGGAGTGAGGAGCTGTGCAAATTTAATGGAGCAGTAACACCTGATATTTTCATGGATAGAGTTTTATGGGCTGTCTGTTGTAGGTGCACGTTCAACAATGACCTAGTGTTTGCATTCAGCCAGCGGTTCTGTTTGAAAGGTCCTGCGATGACGCCAGAGCAATGCTACACCTGCAATTAGACGCCGCTCTGATGAATAGTGCGAGGCAGGAACATTACATGTTTGACCCGGGCTTCTGCTGGTCATTATCATCTTCTGCAAGAAGTGTCAGAAGAAAAGTATCAGTGTACCGGCTGCGTACTGGTGGTCATGGAAATACTGGAGAAGTCGCAGGAAATTGCCCGCACCAGTTAAGAAAAACGATACGTAACCAATCCTGCTAGGAAATTTTGTGGGGATTATGTTTCCATAAACTTATACCCACAAAATTCATTACCTTTCTTTCCATTATAGCTGTTAAAACACTTTATTTCACCGTCGGTTGCTCAGAGATGTAATTGCTTTTAAAGGAAAGGAAAAACCTTCATGTTATATAAATGTATCAAGAAGTGGCAGCAATATGCTTCAGCAAGAGCTCAGAAATTCAGATTCACTTTAAAAAGTTAAATATTTTTAAAAGATTATGGGGGTTTTTTTTGTTTTATTTTAGAAATGTGCAGGTATATGGGCACTTTTTGGAACTAAGTAGACATTATTCAAGAAAAAGATTGTTTTTAAGGTGGCGTCCATTGTTGTACACATCCGATCACTTGACTTTTGGGTCAGATGCTGATAACAATTTTAAGGTGGTAAGAAAAATTCCGCTATCAATACGTCAGGCGATGTTTTACATGTATGTACATGCACAAACAGTATGTTAGAGATATAATGAAAAGGATAAACGATGGAGGGATTGTTTGCTAACTTTCTAGCAATGTATTACACAAACTGGTTGGCTACTTACTGTGAAGACACCGCTTGACTCCGCACCACCATCTGCTCAGCTGTGGCACGTACTCTGCTACATGTGCTGCAGACACTGCTGAGAGTCTTGAAAAGAACGGAGCCAGAGCCAATCTGCCAGACAAACTATGTGAAGACACCATTTCTAATTTCTTTATGTTCTGTAAATAAAACATTGATATATCTGTGACAGGCCAGTGTCGCCCTGTAATACCAGATGAGTGACGTGTCGGTCAGGCTCTTCTGGTCGTTTATGTTCCCCCAAAATGTAGTTTCATTGCAATGCAAAACAGACTTAAAGAGAGCGAGAGCAGCAATGCACTGCCTCTTAGCTGGATGTTAACATCGATCTTTAAAAAAAATGTGTGGAATGATTATTTAATTGTAGATGTTTTGCTGTTTGGCAGGTGGCTCAGTTGTCTTGGATTGAGAGGAAAGTTGCTGCAACTCTGTTCGGAGAACCTCCGAGTGCTACAGTTGAAGATGCACTGAAGAACTTTCTGAAGGTACTATGATTCATTCAGCGGCGGTAATTCCACTCTGTTCTTTATTTTTACTACTTAAATCTGGGATAGGTTTTTTTTTTTTTTTCTTGGATGCCATTGGACAAAAATCCCCTAATAGTCTTCGAGCATATCGTAATTCAAGTGGTTTGGAAGGAAACTATACTTCTGCACCTCCTTTGGCTCCATGTTCAGGCTTTAGAAAATGTAGCTTGTGACATTTGACTTTGTCCAATCACAGGCCGGTTCAGACCAGATCAGGTTTAATCATATGAAGAGCAGCTAAGGCCACAGTCCTCAGCTGAGTGGAATTTAAGTTGCTTTTGAGTACTGTGGGAAGCTAAACATTCATTTTGTCTTTGTTCTTGATCAGTTTTGCCTCTTTGACGCACATGTAAATGCCTGTGCTCATCTGGTGGGAGGGGTTTGGAATTTCTGCCTACTGCAGCTTTAAGGATGCAGCGTTCTCTAAACACAATAGTTCTATGTGTCATCCACAGCTCAATGTAAAAGCGTGTGAAGCTGGTTGAACATACCCCCATCATAGAGTGGGGGGAAATGAGCTGTACAAATAGGAGCGACAGCGTTTTTATCAGGGCATAGCCTTCTTTAATAAACACAAACGATGGGGAGTAACTGTGTAAAGATAAAGAGAGGAGTTGAACTCCTGCCAGTTTCCGCCATACATCTGATTGCATGTTCTCCCCTGAGCTGCTCCTATTAACAAAACATGTAACGTACAGTCCTGTTTATCTAGTGCTCCAATGCAATTTGCCTCCAGGTCGCTCCTGTACCCAGGCTTCAAAGCCCAAACCCTCAGTATTTAGAAAGGCTTAATCTGTGTTCCCACATTCAAATGTTTATATAGTAGAGAAATTACTTTCGCTCCTGGCCAATATGCCTTTGCATGCCTCTACGTCATGTCTCATGTATCTCAGCCTTCAGTTTGCTTTAAGTGGTCCCTGTTACAACATGTCACTTGTGACCTGGGGAAAGGCCTCCGTCGCACTTTGACAAATGCATCGTGCAACGTTATGCGGTGCCTCTAAACAGGCTGTCTGTACTTAACTAGCTGGTGATGCAGAGAAGCAAGCGTCAGGATAAGTCAGTGGATATGCTGTCTGTTCTGGGTCTTTTTAGTGATGCAGATAGAACTTTTAGGTATTTATGTGTGAATATCAACATCTTCAAGCAAGTGCAGCTCATTAGAATGTAAATTTTAACTGTGAATGTGTAGTTCCCTTTTAATGTCCACTAAAGTCTATACCAGCATCTGACATTGTAGTAATCGTTTTTATGTTTTTACGCAGGTCGAGGAGATCCATCCTGCATATTCTAAACTCAACTATGTATTTCTAGCTAAGGTCAGTTGTGAAAACATCAGGTTTGTGCTTATCTTATAAAAATTGGGCCGTCCTGCAGGATGGCACTGGGGCTGAACAATGCTTAGACAGTTTTTGTTTGTTTCTTTGGCAGTGCTACAAAGACCTGGGGCAGAGGGAAGAGGCCAGGAAGATGTGTGAAGCTGCTTGTTCAATGGACGCCGTCTCCAAAGAGGTAGAGCTCATCAGCATCAGTTTTCAGGGCTTTACTCGTATCTGTGTCTTCTGTCTCATCTAACTGGCAGTTCAGGGAAAACACAGACTCAGACTGGAACACATCATTAGGCTGTTTTCCACTGCAGGAACTTCCACTTCTACTTGTTGGGATGGCCCATACATTTGTTCCAAACTTAGTACCTGGCCCTGTAGAACGACTTTCAGTGCCGTTTTCAAGGCCGAGCAAAGTACCTATTCTGGTTTTGGTAGTTCTAAATGACTTCGAAAGACTCAGTGCTCATTGGTTGAACAGACAACAACAAGCACTACTGTTTTCCTTCTGCATGTCCTGTTTGACTTGCAGTCTTCTCTTCTCAAGCATTGGCATCAACATTGTAAAATTTGGCATAAATACTAACAGCAACCATTGCAGTTCCTCAGTCGTTCCATTGCATGCAAGATCATAGAACGTACATGTTGTCCAGTTGCTGCTATTATCACACAACATTATTATGTCACCTTGTGAGTCTGGTGGATCGTACACCGCAATGGAAACTGAAAGGCTACAAGGGCCACTTAGGAGGTTATTTCTTAAAATGTTCAAGCCCCTTCGCACCTAAGCCAAGTTCCTGCAGTGGAAAGCCGCCTCTTGCTGGCTGACTAGTGCAAATTAAGGACGCACTCCAGGGAAAACTAATTTGACCTTGTTAACTTGTCCATACGTTGCATTTTTATACATTACAAGACACATCATGAGCAAAACAAGCAGTCAACACAATGCCTGAGTATTTCCACCTTAAAGCTGCACTGTGCTGATGGTGGCTTTGTATGTAACAGAGCTAAGGAACCAGTCCTGTCCACTTGCGGGGTGGAGCTTTCTGTGTTGTTATCTTTCAGAACCGATTGAATTAGCGAGTAGTGCAGAGTACTTTTACAGCATGTGTGCAGAGTGGTAGGTGAGCTGGTGTGCTCGAGCTGCAGCGAGTGCTGAAGGGTGAGTGGAGAGAGAGAGGCAGGGACTTCATAAATCTGCACGATGTAGAGTTACATATACATACATATAGGGTATCGAAGGATTATTTCGTGGGGAAAAAAACAAAAAACATATTTTAGGGAGTTAAATTTATGACCGGAGAGGAACTTGAAGGTAAAATGATAAACTGTTCCAGACTAAATATTACTTATTTGAAATCTTTTTTTTTTTCTCAGGACGAGGAGGCACAAAGGGAGCTGAACTCACTCTGTCCAGCGCTCGGAGTGTGACAGCAGAGGAGAAGCTATTTGGAGATGTTCCTTCCGTGTGTGTGTGTGTGTGTGTGTGTGTGTGTGTGTGTGGGTGGGTGTGGGTGTGGGTGCGTGTGTGTGTGGACACACCATGTATTGATTGGCCATCATGTTAGTTCACTCTGTGAGTGTATGGAGCCATGTCATGGCATGATATCACCAATGGGAGCAAAAGGCCGCCACATTTAGAACCGTCCTTTGTACTTTTAAATCAGACTTGTATTCTAATGTTTTTCTTTGTAATAATGGAAAAGAAAAAAATACTTTTCATACCTCATTGTACAGATCAGTGAGAAGCTAAAAATACCATCTCTGTCCATCGGGTTAATTGGACTGATTGTAGCACACATTCTCTCAGAGGTCTGGTTGCTCTGATAGGAGCAGCGTCTCTCAAGGATACTAAGTTTCTTTGACAACAAAGACCTATCACTTGTTGGGAAAGTGACCCACAGGACTTGCTGTTCCTTCCTGCTCCGTCCTGTGTTTTGTTGCGTCTCCCACCACGCATTCAAGTGACAATAACAAAAGCCCGTCAGACAATGGCGCACCCAAACATCTTGTTGTGACCACTGGGTGACCTCGTGATTCTCCCCACCTTCATACAGATCTGCATAAAGCTCTCGTGCAACATTTACTTTGTCAAATAATTAACACACACACGTAGATAAATGTGTTCTTTGGTGATCTCTTCTGTGATCTGAATCATGAGATCTGATGTACTGTGGTTGTTGCTTTTGGCACCTGTCCACTGAAGAGTTACCTCCTGCTACTCAGCTGCTGTGACAGTTTGGTCACGGCAGTTCATCAAATCATCCAACATGAAGACAACACAACAGACTGTTGAACAGCCCTCAGTGCAGAAGGTTCTTTAATATTTTTCCTGGACTCCTGATGTGAATATGTCAACAACCATCAGTGATGCATTTTAGTTTGAACTCTCAGACTGTTCCATGTGAGTATATCAGATGTGGCCTATATGTCTGATTTGACCCTGGATGTTTGAGGTCTTGTGTTTATTGGGTTCTTTTTACATGTTTGTCATATCATGGAGAAAAAAAAGAACACGAAAATGATGGTGTTCTTTCCTCTGAAGGTTTTATATGGAGCACCTGTACAGGTGTTTTTGAGCAGATCTCCCTTTGTAGTCCAGATTTCCACTTGGAATCATGAAGGTGTCTCTTCCTCCAGGAACACCTTTGATTTCCCACATGTTCCTTTTTGAACATTTACACGGAGCTCAGACTCAATTACATTTTAGTGATCTAAAAAAAAGTTTTAAAAACTGTTCGATTTAATACGTATTTTGTCTAGACATCGGTTCTTGTGTTTTTTGTTTTTTTTTTTAACTTTTCCAACGTCAAGGGAAATGTAGAGCTATCTAAAGCACACCACTCAAACGCAGTATGCCAAGTTATAAAAGGATTTGATGTTTATAGAAGGCTCTCATTACGCTACATACTGTATATACAACACCTAGTTATGCTGGTTGAGGTTCAATTAAGGTTTGGCACAGGTTCCAATAAATGTAAAAAACATATATATATAAATATATATATAGTAACAAAAGATGATGAAAATGAGATTCACTGGTACTCTGAAGAACAAATAACATGTTTAGATGTTTATGTTGTTTAAAAATGACCTTACTGGAGTCATCTGAACCTCTCAGTGTGGCAGAAAGAGAATCATAACTCTGTTTAAACTCATGGATGAAGCAGCAAAGGCAGTCCCACTGCCTTAACGTATTGCAATGATGCATTCCCCGTTAGATAAAACCACTAAAACGTGACTCGATTAGGCTAAAGTAATGATTGAATGTTTTATTTTATTACTGTTTCTCACATTCCTAATTGTTTTGTCGTCGATGTTTCAGTGATGCATTTTAGAAATGCATATTGTGTGAATTAAGTTTGGTTTTCTGTGGAGATTTGTTGTGCAGTCTGATTAATTCTAATTTAATTTTGTGTTTTGCCTGCAGTGTGTCAATTACAAGAAGAACTGCTTTTGTCACTACAGATTTTTTTTTCTACCAGCACTATGAATGTATTTGATTTTTTTTTCAAATGCCAAAGCAAGCTCAATATTCCTCAAGGTTATATCAAATCTGATAGAGATTATGCTGTGCAGTATCATAGGCAGTGTGCAATGAATGATTAATGGTACTGTAGTCTATAATTAAATCTGTGCAATCCTGATAGAAGTTGTCAGTTTGTCATTTGTCTGGCTTGTTTGTGTTCTTGTTAGTTTTTATTGCTGTTTACAAGAAAAGCCGTCTCCCAGTCGGTTATATCACCTGTAAAATACACAGTGATTTTTGTCAGAAACTGAATTGATCTTAATCCAAAACCAGCAACGAGTGCAACAAGTAGACTCCTGCAGGACTATAAATGATTGCGGAGTTTTAATGCATCTCTTCCATTTTCTTCCAGACTGTACATTTTGTGCCAGCGCAATTTGGAGTTTGTTACTGGATCTCATTCAGACCAACTTGCCACCGGTCTAGTCATGTTTCAGCATTTTTTTTTTTCCAGAGTAGAGCCACTCTAAATGGGTGCCTCCCAAGCGAGTACAGGTGTTTGTTTATACAGTAATGAAAACTTCACCTTTCCTGACTGATTTTATGAGCCTCCTGTGCACTTTAATCAAAAGCCTCAGTTGAGACAGCTGCAGAAATCACTTACAGTCGGTCTGTACAAGCTGGCCTGAAGGCTAGGAGCTCATTGTTGCATTAAGAGTTTAGATGCTGCAGCTTTCTGGTCCTGCAGTCCAAAAAACACTACAGTAAAGACATTTAAACCGTTTCCAGTGTTGTGACTCTGTTTCCCTTGCAGGTAGGTGGCAGGCTGCCATTTTTGTTTTGATTCTTAAACCTGACATGCAACTTAAGAAACAAGTTAAAAATCGTTTCCGTCAATAGGCAGATAGAATTTTTTTCATCCAGATAGTTAGAAGAGTGTTTGAGGATTCTAGAAATGCCATCATAACAGCCCAAAATGAATTATCCTTTCGCGAAGCTGATGTTCACCTGTGCCTCCCAGCTGCATGCTAATGCATTCATGTCGATGTTAACATGTACCATTTACCTAAACATTGTTGCAGACCAAGCAGACCCTCCAGTGGCAACAGTACTCCCTGATGCGCCCCACCACACTGCAAATACTGCTCAAGAATGGCTCGAGGAACACAACCAAGAGCCCAGGTATTGATCAGACCTCCAAACCCCTCAGATCCCAATCCAACCGAGCGTCCATGGGGAACACCAGGACACATCGAAACCAGCCGTCCCCACCCTGCAACCCACAGGACCCAAAGAATCTACTGCCAACTTCCCAGCGTCCCATGTTCATGGCCTGACCGCTCAGAGCTGTTTTGGTGGCATGAGGACAACATACATAACATGAAGTAAGTGGTTTTAAAGCTGCAGAAGTCTAGAAGAGATGCCTCCCCCTCCCCTCTCTGTAAACCCCTCCCACCAGACGGGCATCAAACTTCAAGCAGGATTTGAACTCCAATCTGCTGAGTGAAAGTCCTCTGGTTTTTTTTCCATTGTGCCACCACATCCCATACCCACAGTGAACATTATAGCTCCTTAAACTCTCATCTGATTTGGGTGAAAAGCCCTGCAATCGGCTGAAGTTTCCAGTCACACGCTAGATTTTCTAAAACCTCAAACTGGAGCCAAGTGAAGCTGTTGAAGTCTAGTTTCTTCTCAGACCACTTCATTTACAATATGCTGAAAAGTTAGTATAACATTTTTGACCACCAAGTAAACATTGCCTACTGCAGCTTTAATGTTGTGGCTGATTGGTGTATGTGCCATATAAGTACAATATCAATAAAATAGTAAAAAAAAAAAAAAAAAAAGGGGGGTTTAAAACTAACTCCATAACTCCGAATCCTTCCACAAGAGCAGGCCTCGAGGTTATGTAATACATCAGGTGTCACCTTTGGCACCTTTCATTCAAATTTAGAGTCTTGATTCATAAGACAGAGTTTGACGAAATTTAGCAAACTTATCTATACACCTAAATGTACAGTGTGAGCATAATAGATCTTTATTCAGGTGTTGATTTTTATTACTAAATCTGCTCTGGTTTTGACCTGGACTTAACCCCTCCTGGTCTGGACCTGGCGTTGACGTGGTTTCGGACTCAGCTAAGATAATCTTAACTTTCGTCTTGTGGTGACATTTCTGTGTTATCACACCATTCCTGAGCTCCTATCAGTCGGCCTTAACAGTCTGCAATGTTCTGCCTGAATACCACATCTGCTACATTCTTGCTCACATTCATTCAGATCTCCACATATCCCTCCATTCACCGTCTAAAGCTCAGCTATGTCTTCGGTTGCACAACTCACAGTCAACGGCGGAGGGATTTTGTGCGTATGTGCTGCATGTGTACGTGATTTATCTGCAGCCAGCGCAGGATGCAAGCTTTAAATGGAGAGACTCATGCTAATCTTGTTAATGCAGTCTTGACAGGTCTAAGCTATATTGACATAGGATGTCTTAACGCCACTTCATGCAATATTTCAAGTTTCTCAGCTGGATGATGCCAAAACAGCTCTTCTGATTTCTGTCCAACAAACTCGTGTGCATGACATTTCTTGTGCTAAATTAATTTTAATCGGTGTGCACCTCAGGACTTCATGTTTTTTTTTTTTTTTGGGTGTTTCATTTCCACAACTGCATATAAGGAATATTTGCTTCCTTCTGCAGCTTCCTGAAATGCAAGCAGGTAGACAATACGAGCCTGCAGGGGTTTTTGCTTTTGTTCTGTGAGCAGTTCTGACTGAAGTTGTTATGCAGCTGCACTGGATGTATGAAGCACGACATTGTCAGCTTCTCCGCTCTTTTCAGCTCATTTATGTTTTGAGCGTTTTCCGTCCCATTCATAAAGATTATGTTTGGAGCGTTGCCACACATGACTTCACTGGCACTATTTAGTCTTCAGATGTAATTTTGTATTTGTACAATTGGAGAGCGGGAGAGCGGAGAACACCGTATCAGTAGTCATCAACTGTCTGAATTTGTCACGCACTGGCTAGCTGGCTATAAGCCTCCTGCTGATCAAGTACAGGATGTTCTGGCAGGACGAGATAAAATGCTGCGCTGGGGAAGGGATCTCCCAAACACTTCCCTTTTGTTCCCACCTGACGTGGCAACGTGCCAGGGGCTGAAACGATTTATTAAACAGCTCTGACAGATCGGCTCCAAATACAGTCGTTTTTTTGTTTAAATTGCATTTTAATCAAATGTGTCCAGCTTTATCTCCTTTAACCTGTTTGCCACGTAGAAAACTAAACTAGTGAAAAACAAAAGAGTGGCTTATTATGCAACTAAACAGTTTCATTCCAAACAAGAGTGGATAAAGAACATGGGACCTGCAGTAATGTGTAGACAGAAGCTTAAAGTACTACACTGCTACAGTTTTTTTTTTTTTTCACTTATTCAATTAATATATTTTGACAAAAGAAGCATTTCAGGAAAAAAGTTACTATAAATTTGAGGTATTTCATGATTCTCACCTTGTTGATTATTAGATGTTAGTAAACCGTTCAGATTGACGAGCTTCTCTGGGAGCAAATGAGAGATTTGAATTTATGATTTGGTGGCTAAAAGGCTATTTTGAAATGCTTTATTATACATATATGTATATATATACTTGTAAAAATTGGTTTATTTTTTTCTTTCTGCACTGCACAGGAGGGGTGGGAATCACAGAGTAACTCACAATATCACGATACAGAGATTCTGCAATACTCAGTACATTACAAGATTTATGATACATCACAATATCTGTGTAAACGAAGAAGACAAATGGGCCTAAAAAGGCAGAAAGCAGAAATGGTGTATGTAGTCATTGCATTGTGGTGTTGTGTGTGTGTGTGTGTGTGTGTGTGTGTGTGTGTGTGTGTGTGTGTGTGTGTGCATGCGTGTGTGTGTGTGTGTTGTTATGAATATTCAATTTCAGCAATGTTTCAGTTCACTTATTTAGCTTTCTCCTGCTGTTGACCGTCTTTCTCCTGTGAACTTCTTCTTCTTCTTCACTGCAGGTTCGTCCTCCTCATTCATCTGATGAACATCACCACGAATAGTCGTAAAGCAGTGACTCTGGTAAGTGAAACTGACTGACTGGGGAATCCACTCAGAGCACCTGCATGTGTTCTGTTCCTTTTGGCACCAGTGCATTGATTAACTGTTCCGATATATTGCCGTATCAGTACTTAACCCACCCCTACTGTTCACCACATTACTGCGTGTAATACAAAATTATGTTTTATGAAACGACACATGGCACTCTTCACGTTTTCTATTTCCATTTAAACTGTGACAAAATCAGCATGTGGACATTCGTTGGGGTTCACTGAGGAAAAAGAAACGTGGCTCATGCGATGCTTTTCTGATCTTACTGAGCGTTTTTACAAAGATCATGCTTTTTACTTCCACACACTGAGACACACAGACAACTCACACCAGATCTGTTAACACTTACTGAAAGTCGCCTGTAAAAGATTTATCCTGATTGACATTATTCCAAAATGTTTTAGCAAGAATCCGACAAATCCAAGACTTTACAGTCAGTGCATTAGTCTCTAACAGCAGTTAGATGAGTCTACAAACGTAACACAGATTCACCGCAGCGTCCCAACCCCAACTCTGACAGCATTAATGTTTCTGTAAATAAAATAAAAAAGAAGAAGAAATAATTTGGTTGTCTGCACTGAAAATTAACAAACGGAGTAACAGCGTTTCTGTAGAGCTTTACAACATTCAAACTGAAACAAAAAGAGACATAAATGGCTAAATAACACTGATCTGATTGAAGTCTTTTCATACGTGCGTCGGGCAGCAGTCAACAGACACAAGCATCACCTGCAGCGTCTACAGCAGGTTTCAGAATATATTAGAAGACGTTCAAAAGCATTCTAGTTAAAATAGTTTTTGGCTTTTTAATAAGCCTTATTCCTGAGTAACTATAACTTTATACTTTACATCAAAAACTACACATTAGTACTGAACATTTTAGGCCTTTAAGCCTCATGAGGCCTAAAGACTGACACGCTCCACGAGCTTATTCACCGGTTCATTGGTCAGGAGCCTGACCTTGGCACATTACTTTTGTCACCTTAACAACCTCCCGTTTTTAGTCTTTACCTTCAAATGTTACATATTTTTGTATTTTTTTTTAAAGAAGTTTTATATTTCACGAGAAAGGGGTTTGGATCCCCTCACTCAGGAGAAACATGAATTTAAAGGATTCCTGAAAAGTGAACATTTCCATCTGTTAGGAAAACTGTCAACATTAAACATTATGATGTTCTCGTATACAAGCTGGATAGTTTCTACTTTTCAATAAACTGTTGAAGCAGCGTTCACACAAAAATCACAAGGATGTGTTACAGCAGCTCTGCAGGCTGAGAAGCCTCGAGGCTGTTCAGCGGTGACGAGCAGCTGACTGCAGTCCTCCACCTTGATGAATCTGCAGAGGAAGATAGCTAATTGTTAAATGGTATGTTGGACTGCGTTTGAAGTTGTAAAAGATTAATCCCCAGTGAGCTGCTGTGCTGTGAGACAGATTCCACATCTGTTAGAAATAGGTCAGGAATCATGACTGTTTAATCATTCTCAACTGTCTTTTTAAAAAAAATGTACAAGATAAGAATTTAGCCTGAGATTTCAGGTTATAAATATATTTTTCAGCCACACACATGAGCCAAAGTTCCACAGATTTCCTGTTTCAGCCTTCATTTGTTTTTGCTTATTATAGCTTTGAGTTCATTTACTCTTTTGTTTGTGAGTCTAATGAGGGCTCGTCCCTCACCTCTTCAGAGGACGACTGCCCTGTAGCAGCGTTCAGCAGCGTCATATCTTCACGCAGAGCCACTGCTATATAATAAGCATGAGGTTTCAGAGTCAGGCCGTAGTTGTAGTCCAGTTTGGGTGGCCTGGCCGGGTCTGAAGTGATGTTGCATTGATGTGCTATGAGAGCTGTGAAGAGAAACAGGTGCAGCTTGGACAGCTCCTCGCCGATGCACCGCCGCTTCCCCAGGGAGAAGAGGAGCACGCTGCTGGTCAGATCCTTGTCCAGCGCACCGGTCTGGTCCAGGAAACGCTGGGGGTCGAAGGTCTCTGGGTGGGACCAGATGGCTGGGTCGTGGTTGACGGACCACTGGTTGATGAAGACGACCGTGTTCTTTGGTATGGCGTAGCCCATGAGGGAGGTGTCTGTGGTGGTGGAGTGGGGGATGGTGAGGGGGACGAGGCTGGTGAAGCGCATCACCTCGTAGATGAAGGCCATGACGTAGGGCAGCTGAGGCTGGTCGTCGATGCAGGGGACACGGCTTCGGTCCACCACTTTGTCCACCTCCTGCTGGAGACGCACCTGTATCTCAGGAAACCTGCATTCACAGGTGAAGCGCAGTTTAGATGAGTATCTGACAGCAGAGAGCACACACTCATCTTCACAGCAGACATTAAATAATCAGTGAGCAGCCATCTAAACTGCATCACGTTAGATATCATACGCAGACACAGATCTGTGGCGCGCAGCCAACTGTTACAGCACCTCACACACTGCTGGAGAAAACACATCCCCTTCTATAGGAAACAGTGTCTCTGCATGTTGTATCACACAAACCTGCTGATGAAGACATCAAGCACAGACTGCATTCAGCGCTACGAAAGATCAGACAATGAACTCGTGTAAAATCTGCCAACAGTCTTCGCAAGTAAAGTGCTGACTGGGCATTTCATTGACTTTCTCTGGTGTACAGTTTCAGCTCTTTATGTTTTGCTGCCAGTACCTGCCTGTGTCTCAGCTCCCCCATTAGACTGTTACATAACACAAATGCTACTGAAAACTTCCTCAAGTCTGCAGCAGCAGCAGCAGCAGCTCTGATTTATGACCTGCTGTTGTTCACCATTATCTTTTACACTGGTTATTATTTTGCATTTAAATGCTCTCTATAAAATGATTAAAAATGTTCCTTACCTGACCAGGATGAGAATGATCCACTGCTGGAACGTTGACAATGTGTCTTGACTTGCTCCAAATATATCCCCAATTGTGGGAGTCACGTAGTCTTTTTCAGACGAACGCCCTGTTTTTTCTCTGAGTTGGTCCAGCGCCACTATTAAAGCATCTGTCATGTCTCTGACGATGCTGGACTGGACTGTCTTTCTGTGTTCAAGGACTTTATCTGCAATGAACATCCCAAACTCCACGTTGAGCCTCTTGAAGTTCTCAAAGATGGTTTTGATGGGGTTGGGGAAGTACTGGAGCCAGGGCATCACGTCCACGATGCTCCCTGCCCCCACAGTCTGCGTGAACTGGTCGTTCCTGCCGACCACCTGCCGAAACTCCTCGTCCTCATACGAGTACCTCTTCCCAAAGCACACCGCGCTCATGATGTTGGCGGTGGACACCACCAGATAGGTCAAGGGCTGGAAATACTGCTGCTCCTGCGTCTTCCTCGTAAACAGCGCCAGCAGCTCTCTGACCTCGCAGAGGACGTGATGTTCAAACGTGTTCTTGGTGTGCGGGTTCCCGGTGGAAAACATGCGCACGGAGGATTGGGCCGCTCTGCGGCGCAGCTTCCACCAGTCTGAGACGGTGCCAAACGCGATGCCGTCCCCGTTGGAGACGTACTGGAAGGAGGTGAAGTCCGGTCTGCCGGCAAATTCTGCTCCCTGCTTGACCAGCGCCTGTTTAATGGAGTCTCCGTTCAGCACCACCACTTTCCGACAGCCCAGTTTGATCTGGAAAACGTTGCCATACTTTTTCGCCATGCGCGCAAAGTACAAGTGCGGCGAGCTGCCAAGTTGCGGAGCGTTTCCGACGACCGGCCAGGCGAGAGGACCGGGAGGGCAGAGCGCCGACCGCTGCCAGAGCCACCGACACAGGTGGAGGGAGAAGAGCAGAGTGACACAGGCCACCAACAGAGCTCTGGCAGTCGCTGGATCAATCCCCTGCAGAGTCACATCCATGATGGAGATCCTGCGCAGAAATTATTAAACGCAGTTAGCAGCCTGTTAGAGGTTTGAGTGCAGGCAAAAAAAATCAACAAATTAAAGAACACAAAAGCTTTTGTTGAGCAGGAGGTGATTAAATACCTGGTTGTGTCCTTGGTTCATCAAAAAACAAGCAGCTTTTATGATTTATCCAAAAATATCAAGTTGTTTCTGCTTTAAACAAAGAAAAACAGAACTTTCATCCCACACCAGATGCGTTTCTCACTGAGCAAACTGCATTTCTTTGTCAAATCTTCAGTCTACATCTTTCCCACACAGCCTGATGCAGAAGTGTGTGCAGCCTGTTGTGCATCCGCAGACAGCGTGTGAAGCGCAGCCTGTGCGCTCCTCTGTGCTCTCTGTCCGCAGCCTGCTCAGGCTTTGAAGCCCCGCAGCGCCAACTCAAGTCATTTATCCCCAAACAGCGCAGCATCACGGCCCGTCAGCGTCTGAGCGCGTCCCGGCTTTGTTACAGTGGGCAGGTTTGTAGCACCAAAAAAAAAAAAGAAAAGAAAAAAAAAGGGTGTCACCCCACCCTCCCGACACCACCACCTCCCCCCTCCTCCCACCGCCTCCCTCCCTCAGTGTTACTCACATGCAGCAGTTACTGTCCGACCTGCAAATGGGAGCTTTTTGAACTTGTGCACGGTTGAGAGGCTGAGGTGTCTGGATCAAGTGCAGGACGAGCCGCTGTTTTACGCGCAGGTTTTACCTTTTTTCAAATACTTCAGATGCTGCAGAAGCGCAAGAAAAGCGTAACTTTAATTATTTACGTATTATTATTGTTGTTGTTGTTGTTGTTGTTACAAGGCTGCATATTTATGCTTTTATATATTTTAAAAATGTCCAGTTTAATTATAGCAGTAGTAATATGAATGCTATTTATGATTCTATTTTAAATTATTTTTATGCGGTGGGGATTTTTGGTTTCTTTTTTAAATATCGCTTCAAGTGTTTGTAACAATGTACCTGAAGGAATTATGTAACATCCGACACAGTCCAACAGAGTTTTAAAGATAAATTATGCACCTTAAACCGAAAGCAAACATAAAGTTATGATCGCTGCTCTATCGTCGCTTTTTACTTTTAATAAAGCGCAGGTGGTTATTGAGGTTTTTTTTCTGTTCCTTTTTCTTTTTTAGAAGAAGGTGGAATTAAAAAAAAAAAAAAAATGAAATAAAAAAGGTGCAGGTATTTAGTTTGTTTTGTTTTTATTGTTATTTGCGCCCAGCTTGTGAACGACGCCTGCAGGCTGCATGCACTGTTAGAGCTCAATCCAAAATAACAGTTAAAAAAAAAAAAAAGTTGTTTTAGTTTGCAAACTGTGTGTTTAAAAAAAAGATAGGAAGGAAAGAAAAAACAGAATCTAAACAGTGATGGAGAGATCCTCCTGTGCATGAGTGTGTGTTCTTGGTTGCACAACAGTTTACCTAAAGGGACCTGCAATCAAGTCACTGCAGTGCTGCTCGTTTGAGAATGAAATTGCAGCCTGTTTGTGCAAAGTCACGGCTGCGTTGCGCTCAGACTGCTGCTCCCTCTGAGCCTCTGATGCTGCTGGGAAGCCGTTTCAGATGAAATACAACTGAGGTGCGCTTTCCCTGCGAGCCACCAGGAGGAGGCGAACCCCGCGATGGAGCTCATTAACTCCCCTAATTAACGCTCAGTCTGGACGCCAGCTCTGCCCCGAGCCGCCTCACTTTAATGCTCACAGATAAAAATGTGTGAGGAAGCGAGAAAACTCTGCTCTGAAGCTTAATTAAATGATCTATTCATGTATTTTAAAAGTCTTTAGCGGATTTGAATGATTCAAAAAAAGGTTCTTTGGTGACTGTGGAGCCTGAACAGCAACAATCAGGGGCTCGTTTCTGTTTGAGAGCGCATTTCTCTGCCTTAGTGCGTCTTTTATTCCTCAGTTTGAATCCCCCTCATCGTTCAGTGTGTAGGTGATGTTCTGGAGTCAGATCCGTGTTCAGGTCACTCTGACCGGGTCTGGGCTGGATGTGATTCTGGAGACCCGCTTCAGCACCGCGGACAGCGGCCCTCAGCCCGCCGAGGAGCCTCTGACCTCCAGACCTGCCAGCTCTGGGTTTACCTCAGAATGGAGGCACGGCGCAGGCTAGTCATTTTAGATTTTGTTAAAATAAAAAAAATAAACAACAACAGTTAAATAAAATAAATAGGGCTGAAGGATGTCTGCAGCTTGGTTGCACCCAGTAAGGAAACACTGATGACTGAAGTCCTTCGGCTGCCAGAATGTCCTGTCAGATATTGTAGGCCTGCTTTATGCTTTATGCAGCGCAGAAAATACTGACTTTAATAGAATATTTGGATTCCTGTGTTAGTACAGGAATGACAGGGAATTAGGGTTTTAGGTTTAATCATAGTTTTCTAAACACATTATTACAGAACTGCTGTATTTCTGCTCTGTAATTATGTGGAGAAAAAACAAACATTTACATTCTGTGAGGACAAATTCTCAAAATTCAGTTTTTAATGAAGCTGGTGCTTTAAAGAGCTATCACGTGACCCAACACAATAATCATTCACAACCAAAAATAGATCAAATAATTAAATTAAATAAAAACACAGTGTGATTATTGGCCTTTCAAATAATAATTATTCTGCCTTTTACCAAATGATCTGAAGCATTTAAATCAAACCTGCCTTGAAGCATTTTTTATTGTAAATGAGAACTTACAGCATTCTATTCTTTTTTTGTTTTAATTAATACTTTTTATTTTACTCTGTTTTAAATTCTCAAACCAATTCCAAGTGTTTTTGAGGTGAAGGGAGTTTAAAGCAGATGTACTCACTGAGTGTGGAGCCTCCAGCTGCAGGCCTCTCCTGCTGGATGATGAATGTCTCACACGGTGACACTGTGAGATCTTCCTTTACTCTAACAGTCAACCGATCCACGAGGGTGGAGACAAACCGGAGCACTGGTCTCAGCCTCCTTTACTGGTCAGTGGTGAGAATAAACCCCAGCAGGTCCCTGTGCCTCTTTTTCCATATGGTACTTCAGTGAAACCCTCTAATCCTCTTATCTGACCTAATAGCTGCAGGAATTATTTAAAATAAGTGATAAAAAAATTAAATCATAATGGATCTAAACTAATATTGGAACATTTTTATTATCTTATTGTTTTAAATTTTTTTAGGCAATCACAACGTTTTCATTGGATACATTATTTGCTTTTGAGGATTAATTGACCAACACACACACACACACACACACACACACACACACACACACACACACACACACAGTCTGTCTGTCTGTGTGTGTGGTCAGTGGTTCAAACTGGTGATCCCGAACATCCCCATATAGTCATAAGACTGACTTTTGTTGCTCAGTAGGTCTTTGGATCAACTTTGTTTTGTTAAAGAACCACATGCTTCTTCTTGAATGGAGATTTTTTTATTTTTTAAAGTGAGCTTAAGCATTTCTTTTCATTACTCCTGCAGACTGATTATTATTTCTTGTTATTATTAAATATAAAATACAAAAAATAAAAAATAAAGCACAAATGGGACAGCTTCTTTCTTCCACTAGTGATGAAATGAAATGAAAAATACTTTATTTATCCCAGAAGGGAAATTCAATTGATCACATCTTTAAAATATATATAAAAGAATAACCTTAAGAAATACCAACAATTCCTTCCATTTGTGTCTCCTTATATCTTTTGCTGCCTATTGCAAGGTTATACATTAAGTTGTTGTCATCCAGAGATCTATCCAAAAAAAAAACTGAAGTTCTCTTTTTTTCAGAATTTTTTTCTTTTGATTTATTTCCCCATGAAATATCATCTCATCAGTGTCACCGAACATCAGACCGCTGCAGGGTACCACAAAAACAAGCAGAACTATTCTCACGAGGCTGCCAATCATTTGAAATTCACCTTTTAAGTAAGCGAGCGTTAACAGTTACAGGTGTCCCTTCTTGTGCAGTATCAGTCAGCCCATAAACCCCGTGTGAGTCCTCAAACCCCGCGTTCGTCAGTGTTTGGATGCAGAGCATTTCAGGTTAATCCTCAGAGGTGCAGTGAGGTGACTTCAGCTGCAGAACACCTTGTCGATGCAGACGGGCCCACACAGTGGCCTCCGCCTTGGGCCCCCTGAAGCTCCGCGGCGCTGCTAGTTTCAACACCAGTTTCCCTTCCCGCTTGACTGACAGCTCAATTGCTCATCGCGTGTGAGTGAGCATGGAGGTCAGGGAGGAGCTCAGGAAGGTGTGTGCAGGTGATGATTTGCTCAGACACTGAAGGTACAGTTGCATTGTAAAGTTCCAGCCTGGCAGGGCAGAGACCATGTCTGATTCCAACAGCATTTCTCACATTCAGGGCATAGTTTCGGACAGGGGAAATCAATGTAAGTCATATCAGGAAATTACGTCATCTGAGAGCAGGAATGATAAATGGAACAGGCCATTACAGTGATTTATGTCTGTTATTAGTGGAAGCATGCACAAGACCTCGGAAGAGAAGCACGCCTGTTACAGCACTTGTGGGGCTTATCTTACTCTCTGAATCAATGCTGTGTACTTCAGGGGAAAACAGAGGAACAGAGGGGACTGCCCAAGGCTATTCTAAAGGTGCAGAGCAGTCACGCACATGTGCTTCATCATGGAGGTGACAACTGAAGGGAAAGCCGCTGACAGCTTCACCTAAACACAGATCCCCCTCGGTCTGCTTGTCAGTAGAATAACCGCGAACCCGTTAGAGTTTGGTGAAGATTTTTTGATGCAGGTCTTCATGCACCTATGAGGTTTTATCATCTTTGCATGCATTTAGGAAACAGAATCTGACTTCTAGGCTGGAATAATCCACCAAAAGATGCTATGAGCAGCTTGTAATTTGACAAAAATGCATAATAATGTGTATTTAACACCGTAGCTGTTAAAATGTTTGTGTTAGTTTTATATGTTATAGCACTTATGGATGCACTGAAGTCCAATATATGTAAAAACATGAACGCAGGGTGTGCATTATTATATAATGGTCCACTGATACAGTTCTAATCAGATAACTGGGATGTGAAAACGACACTAAATTATTTTCTGAACAACTTGAAACTGTCAAAGTATTTTTAGAAAGTGGCAGCCTATTACTCCAGTGGCCACTTTTCAGTAACCCGTAACAAAATATCAGGAATTTAAGACCGACAAGGAACAGAACATAATACAGCTCTTCTGAGAAGGGGACTTTATCTCTAAAGTAACTCAATAACAGGTAAGAGAGTTGTCACGCACATGAACGTCTGCCAGTCAGCACTTGGAGATGAATTCTGATGCACCAAGATAACCTCTCCTAAAGAGCCAGACCATGGGAAGTGGTTTTAAAGCTGCACAAATCTATAATTTTAGATTAATAGCTGATCAAATGACTGTGTGGAACTTGCAGGGGGGTGCTGGAAGAGA